TGCAGGATTCCTGCAGGAATGTACTTGGTTGTGCAGGATTTTCAAAATTTCTGCAGGACAAGTCATACTCCTACAAGAGACACCTGCACAATTCCTTCACAAAGGGTCAAATTCCTGCAGGATTCCTGTAGGATTTTTTGTAAGCTACTTTTTATAAACTACTTCATGATAAATTATGTCATAGACTACCAATTGCAAGAACAGATCACTCTGGAGTCAGATGTTAACAGAATGTGTAATTTAGCATAGTAAACACAAAAACTGTGTTTCAAGTGAGAATTCGGCAGGTCTGATCCCAAAAAAGAAAGGAAGTTCTTGCCTACTTCCCCCATATTTCTTTTTTTTTTACAGAAAATGTAGTGTGTAGTTCCAGTAGTTAGCTACACCGCTACATGGCAAAAAAAAAAAAAGGTGCAACCACTGAAAACACTACCAAGATTTGAATTTAGTTCAACTATCACCAAGCTACTGCAAAATGTACTTAAATTACTATTATGTACTTCACTACTCCCCAACATGGTTGTTGGTCAGACATGGGTCTGGTGCCATAATATCAAATTCCCCAATAAGGTAATGACTGGAAAAATAGGTGTGTATAAATAAGTGTGTAAACAGATAATAACATATTACCTGATAGTTATTGCTTCTTTGAAGTTGAAATAGCCTATAGTCAAACTCAGCATGTCTGGGGTTGACACAAAGCTAGGAGCTCATATCAAAGATTATATGAATACTACTGTATGCGTCTTTGGTTTTTATTTATCATTACTTATAGTGGAGAGATGTTTCCTGATGTGTTTCTGTTTACCTGGCTCTTTGTTACAGTATGAATGTGTGGTGACCAGGGCTTTTAGCAATTTCAACTTTATACGGATGCTGCCTTTAATTGTCTTGGCTCTTATCATTGATTCAAATCAGGAAAAAAATTATGTGAAACATATTCTTATATATTTATTTTCTCCGTCAGTACCAGGGGCACAAGTGTTTTCATGCAAACTAAGTATACTTGAACTCCTATATTATTATCTGTCTGTCACTGTAATGAATACTCAGGGAGAAAAAGGTGTAGATTCACGCGCAGAGCGTGACAGGTGTTTATTACGCCTTCGCAGAAGGCAGGAATCGGGGTCACAGGTAGGCAATGGTCATACACAGGTAGGCAAACAGGCAGGTGAAACAAAACTAGGACTGAAGGCTAAAACTGGTTCTCACAGACAAGCTAGGAAAAGGCTTAGTAGAGTCAAAACGAACAATACCTCACAAGGCACAAACAGAAAGAACTGAACTAAATAAGGAGCTGATGAGACCAGGTGAGTAACTAACACAGGTGAAATAAATGAACAAACATGAAAGACAGGGCTACGTTCAAGAACACAAAGAAACAGGGCTATGTACAAGAACACAAAGTGAACTAAGAAATCAAATACAGAACCTTACAGTCACTATATTAATTAAATTAAATTCAAAGGGCTTTATTGACATGGGAAACGTGTTTACATTGCCAAAGCAAGTGAAATAGATAATAAACAAAAGTGAAATAAACAATAAAAATTAACCGTAAACATTACACTCACAAATGTTCCAAAGGAATAGAGACATTTCAAATGCCATATTATGGCTATATACAGTACAGTGTTGTTACGATGTGCAAATAGTTAAAGTGCTATATCCCTGTTACTGAGAGGATGCGTGCTTACTCTCATTTCACAAGATCTGACATCTTCCTCTTTTTGGCTGATTTCTATCCTCCATGTTATCATGGAGTCTTAATTTGCATGGTGCAATGTGCTGAATAAAATATCTGTGAAGACATGCTTCAGACCTGTTCCTTCCTGCACCAAGTGTCCCAAAGGAGTATACAATGCAAAGGGGAGGGATCACTGCCGCTACCACGCTTTCCAACCAAGGTGCATTAATTGAGGAGCAAACGGAGGTAGAGATGAGATTCAGCAACACTTGGTTCTACTTTATTGCTAAAAGTAGAACCAACACGTTTCGGCGTTCTTCAGGGTTTATATGGACTTTAAACTGTTTAAAAGCCTCATTCCTTATTATTTCTGTATAAACCCTGAAGAAGGCCAAAAACCTTTTTATTTAATTCCATTTGTCCTCCAAGTGTTGCTGAATCTCATCTCTACCAAGGGAGCATACAGACAGACCAACACTGATATTCTGTGTAGCTCAGTTGGTAGAGCATGGTGCTTGCAATGACAGAGTTGTGGGTTCAATTCCCATGGGTGAACCAGTATGAAACAAATATACACACTCATTACTGTAACTTGCTCTGGATAAGAGTGTCCACTAAAATGTAAAAAAAAAAAAGAGATTGTGCTCAGATAATTGGAGGTATTTTGACATTATTGGTGTGTTGTTCAACCTCATTTGAAGTATACAGATGTAGGATCTTAATTTGATCCAGTTGGTTACCGTAGGAAAATAATCCTGCAGCAACAGGATATGTGAATCATTATGCGGATTATAATTAATGGACATTTTTGTAGAGGTGAATACATTTTTCATAAGGGAAAATCAAGACTGACATTTCTAATTACAGAGGGTTCTACAGTGGGGAAAAAAAGTATTTAGTCAGCCACCAATTGTGCAAGTTCTCCCACTTAAAAAGATGAGAGAGGCCTGTAATTTTCATCATAGGTACACGTCAACTATGACAGACAAATTGAGAATTTTTTTTCCAGAAAATCACATTGTAGGATTTTTAATGAATTTATTTGCAAATTATGGTGGAAAATAAGTATTTGGTCACCTACAAACAAGCAAGATTTCTGGCTCTCACAGACCTGTAACTTCTTCTTTAAGAGGCTCCTCTGTCCTCCACTCGTTACCTGTATTAATGGCACCTGTTTGAACTTGTTATCAGTATAAAAGACACCTGTCCACAACCTCAAACAGTCACACTCCAAACTCCACTATGGCCAAGACCAAAGAGCTGTCAAAGGACACCAGAAACAAAATTGTAGACCTGCACCAGGCTGGGAAGACTGAATCTGCAATAGGTAAGCAGCTTGGTTTGAAGAAATCAACTGTGGGAGCAATTATTAGGAAATGGAAGACATACAAGACCACTGATAATCTCCCTCGATCTGGGGCTCCACGCAAGATCTCACCCCGTGGGGTCAAAATGATCACAAGAACGGTGAGCAAAAATCCCAGAACCACACGGGGGGACCTAGTGAATGACCTGCAGAGAGCTGGGACCAAAGTAACAAAGCCTACCATCAGTAACACACTACGCCGCCAGGGACTCAAATCCTGCAGTGCCAGACGTGTCCCCCTGCTTAGGCCAGTACATGTCCAGGCCCGTCTGAAGTTTGCTAGAGTGCATTTGGATGATCCAGAAGAGGATTGGGAGAATGTCAGATGAAACCAAAATATAACTTTTTGGTAAAAACTCAACTCGTTGTGTTTGGAGGACAAAGAATGCTGAGTTGCATCCAAAGAACACCATACCTACTGTGAAGCATGGGGGTGGAAACATCATGCTTTGGGGCTGTTTTTCTGCAAAGGGACCAGGACGACTGATCCGTGTAAAGGAAAGAATGAATGGGGCCATGTATCTTGAGATTTTGAGTGAAAACCTCCTTCCATCAGCAAGGGCATTGAAGATGAAACGTGGCTGGGTCTTTCAGCATGACAATGATCCCAAACACACCGCCCGGGCAACGAAGGAGTGGCTTCGTAAGAAGCATTTCAAGGTCCTGGAGTGGCCTAGCCAGTCTCCAGATCTCAACCCCATAGAAAATCTTTGGAGGGAGTTGAAAGTCCGTGACCTGTGTCATTGCCAACAAAGGGTATATAACAAAGTATTGAGAAACTTTTGTTATTGACCAAATACTTATTTTCCACCATAATTTGCAAATAAATTCATAAAAAATCCTACAATGTGATTTTCTGGATATTTTTTTCTCATTTTGTCTGTCATAGTTGACGTGTACCTATGATGAAAATTACAGGCCTCTCTCATCTTTTTAAGTGGGAGAACTTGCACAATTGGTGGCTGACTAAATACTTTTTTCCCCCACTGTTTATGGAACTCAAAAGGGTTCTACCTGGAACCAAAAAGGGTTTTGCTGGACAAATGGACAGTCAAAGAACCCTTTTGGAACACCTTTTTTCTAAGAGTGTAAGGTCATGACTTTCATTGAGCAGATGGTCTCACTCTGTCTCTCTTCCTTTCAGTTGGAAAAAGCTGAACTTAAAACTGACGTGCAACATCTGAAAGTCCTGCCAATTTAACATCAGTCAAGTAGAAGTGATAACACCCCTTTAAAGATTGAGCATGGAAAGGATTTTATCAGCTATAGTCTGGACAACAACTACTTTGGTGTATGGTGTGAGCGTCAAACCTCAAACCTCAAAACTCATGAGTGGGATGGTGAATTTGTAAAAACAATACATTCATGAGCAAGTTTACCTTTCAAAAAATAAATCAACATGGGATTAAGCTACCTGTTACTGTTTATCACCTATAAAGTCAGCACTTGAATATCTGACAGATGCTGGGATCAAAACTGTAAAATAAAGCCATTCTCTAAATCTCAGCAATAATGTAAGTCATATTCTATTCATAGCCTTCTCTCTCCCCCAGCTTGGGTCTGCTGTGTTGGGATCTTGTCCTCTCATGGAGACCAGGCGCTGCTGGGTGTATTGTGTATTAATGGGCCCCAGATGTGGCAGCCTTTAAGGCATGGAGCACCAAATAAGCCTTGTGTCTGTCTCTCAAACGTCTCTGGATCGCAATACAAACCCAAGTATGTTTGTTCACGACCATGGAAGAAAATGTGTGTTCCTGTGCACTGCATGATGTTTACATTTACTGTTCTACTTGTCAATAAATATATCCCATGTTTAATTTAGATGTACAATACAGATGAATGCTTGTTTTGTTCCTGCACTGTTTTTATGTTGGAATCTGTAAAAGCTCAGGTTTCAGTACCCCCTCTGCTCTCACACTCTCTTCTTCTCTCCTCCACTCTGTTATTCTGTAACTCCACATCGCACACATTGAAGGCAGTCTCAGTCTGAAGAGGAGCTCCCACCAAGCATGCTGCTTAAGAGGGTATGCTTTGAAGTTGAAGAAATTCCAGGAGTTTCCTGTAACAATGTTGGAGTATAATGTGAACCAGGAGCCGTGGAGTATTCCTCCTTATCCCCAGTCAAGCCAATCTGCTTGGGAGAGACATCATCACTTCAGCTGTCTGCTGCGTCTGCTTCAAGGCATTTTCCCTGTGGATTATAAAGTGACCACCACCCCACCGAGGATGTCTAGGTTGCTCTGTGCTCTGCTTGTCCTTATGTCTCTGTGGAGTCACAGCCTAGAGGTGTCTGCCGCACGGCCAGGGAAGGGAAGACATAAGACCAGACCCCAGTATGAAGAACCTGCTGGTCTCCTGGCTCCGGAGGATGATCATGGCGGAGCGGGAGACCAGCACAGTCCTGCAACAAGCCTTGACCCAGAACAGGAATTCCTGGCTGATTTTGCAGGTAAGAAACGTTTGTGGGTAATCACGGCCCCGTCACACAGCGACAACTACCTCCGCATGATGGAGAAACAGATCCAGGACATGGAGCAGGAGGGGCTGAACTGCCGCCTGGCTGAGAGGGACACCTTCATCGTCACCATCATCCAGAACGCCATGATGGAAGGCAGGATCCAGAAGACCACCTTCCAAGGAGAGGCCACAATGGAGAGCATCGACTCAGACATGGTCACCAAGCTGCTGCATTACCTCGAGCTGGGGGATCAAGGCTTCTCCATGCTAGTCATGAAGAAGAACCTGAGAGTGAGTGAGCGGTTCCCCTACCCTGTCCGTGTGGAGGCCATCCTGGAGGTCATTGATCAGTTCCCTTTGCGCAAGCTGGAAAAACTCACCAGGAAGGGCTCCCCTCTGAAATGTAAAATCACCAAGAAGAGGCTGATGAAGAAAAAGATTCCTGTGAAAAATAAGGTGTTCAGTCCCCATATGCAGGGAAACGTTACCTCTGTCACCCAGAGGAAGACCGTGGCCAAGAAGGCTGCACTAAAGAACAAAATTCAGGACATTCTCAGCGGTCGCTCCAGGTTCGTCATTCGAAAGACGACCACTGATTCAGAAGGAACACAAGTATTCATCGCAGGGAAGGCAAACTCCAAAGCTGCAGGAAAGGACAACCAAAAGAAGAATGGAAATGTTTTTACAGAAATAAACACATATCCTTCTACTGTGGAGATAAGAGAAAAACACACTGTAGCCAACTCTAGTGTTAATAAACCAGAGAACGTTGGCGGGGGAGAAGAATCCTTAGAGAAAAACAAATCCCCCAAAAAAGGCAAGGGAAAGAAAGATGGTAAGAAGGGGAAAGGGAGAGGGAGAGGGAAGAAATCCCACAGAGAAGTGAATGAGAACGATAAGAAAGCACTGATGGACTTTGTAGAGCATTTGAAGGGGAAGAGAAGACTTATGGTAAGTGCTTTTATAGGTAACTTTTAAGTGTATCAATCAATCTGTTTGTTTGTTTGTGATAGATGTGTTCGTTCATTTGTGATCCAGGTGATAGCCACGCCCACTGTCAGCACACCTCAGTATGTCCAGCAGAGGGAGGAGAACGAGCTTCATTTCTGTGACCTCGCCCTAAGAAAAGTTACTATGGCAACCATCCTGAGCTCAGGGCCCAATACCACCCTCACCCTCACCCTGCACAACTACCAACTTGGTACTACTATGTGTGTGTCTGTGTCTACTGACTCCATCTCCCTTAGATAGATCCTACATTGATCCTAAATAATTTTATCTTCAGGATTATAGTGTCATTATAGTATTAAAGAGATTATCCGGTACTGTTGTATACTTTTTAGCCAGTAGTTCTGAAAGTAGCCCTCACGAGCCAAAAATGATCCTAGAAAATTACGTAATACATCACATATGTGCAGATATGTGCACCACATCATTGCTCTCTCTCTCTCTCGCTCTACTGTGTGTGCATTTTGCTAGCTGTCACCCAAATGGCGAGGGGCTGAAGCTCATTGCCTAGAACTTGAATTGCTAGGGGGCTGGCCCACATGGGGGAAAATGTAGGGAAAATGGTGTAGCACAGCTTCCAGATAAACAGTCGCTTTCAAACTAGGGATTTTGTAGCTAATTGAGGTAGGACAGCAATAGTGTTCATAGATTATGCATGTATGAACTACACATTGACACATCCAGCCAAAAGTGGGAGGTTAAAAAAATACATGATAGTCACCAAAGTTGCGGATCATGTCTTTAACAAAAAATCTGGTTCCTCTTTGGGCTTTCATACAGTAAAACTCTGTATTTCTATATTTATTCCAGATTCTGAGCCGCCATTCACCTCACTACCAGAGAAGTTCACTGACCCAGATCTCATCTCTCAACTGATGAAGCAGTATGGGATGTCCTCCAAGGTTTTCTCCATGACTATGACTGACTATGACCTGAAGCCCAATGTAAGCAGATCACTTTCCTCAGAAAAGTGTATTAATTATCTTGTACTTAATGTGTCAATTATACATGCAGTATATGGTATTTGTCTCCTAATTGTTTATATCCCTTTTAGAAGGTATTTGATGTACCTCCACCCTCATCTGCGCTGATGGAATATGTTGACACCTTTCCATCGCGACGATCTGAAATGGGGAGAGAGAGAAAAACTCCACTGGCCTGCTCCAAATCCCAAGAACAGGGCGGGGCACTGCTGAGGTATGTGATTAAGTCTACACAGTATCTGTAATGATGCCATAGTACTTAAATACTGTAAAGCTGCTATAAAGCATTATAATGCCTGCCAGCAGGTAGCCTAGCGGTTAAGAGCGTTGGGCCAGTAACCGAAAGGTCACTGGTTTGAATCCCTGAGCCGACTAGGTGAAAAATGTGCCCTAGAGCAAGGCACTTAACCCTAATTGCTCTGGATTCAGTTGTCTGCTAAAATGTAAATAATGTGGTTATAGTGCTTTACAATGCAGGGTACAGATAATAATAGAGCCAGTTATCTCCACCAGGTTCATGTCTAAAAGGAGACTGCTGATCATCTCTACTCCATCTGAGGACGACTACTCCTTCCAACAACAGCTCCTGGGGCTGAGAGGACAGGCCTGTCATATGGGTCAGTATTAGGCCCCCTGTTAAACATCTCCAACATTATGAATTATTGTGGGTTAACCTCAGCAACATTATGCTATTATCACAATAGTTCTCACTCATGAGTAATGGAAGAATAATGACTAAATACTTCAATTCCATTGTTTGTCTTTCCAACAGGCATCCGTCATTTTGCCTTGTTGAAGTTGATCGGAACAGGACCAACAGTCTCAGGCTCTGTGGAACTGTTTCCACTCAATGGTGAGTTTGTTTGTTTTCTCTAAGATAATACTGTGTACTGACATAATGTCAACAGATAATGTCAACATGTCACACATTCTGTGTTGATGGGCAGGAAATGGAATCCAACTCTCTTTGAATGATCTAACCATTCCTATACACAGACCTTCGCCAAGAGATATGCTACAGAAAAATAATCTGTCTATTTCCTTCTGTCATGTCCCACACTGATTCGATTCCTACTCTGACACATTATCACTCTAATATATCTACTCTGGGTTGTTAATTTGACCTGTTCTGTCGTTTCTTGATTTCTTGTTTGGATGTTTTATTATGTGTGTATTTGTATTGTATTTGATAGACATTCTACATCACTGTTGGAGCTAGTACAATAAGCATTTAGCTGCACCTGCTATAACACCTTCAAATCTTTGTACGTGACCAATCAACTTTGAGTTGATTTATTAACAGTCAAATGGTGATGGAAATAATGGGGAAATAGCATGACAAACACCTTTCCTTTATCCTTGACAGGAAAGAGCCAAACAGAGAACGAGCCTTTGTCACGGGACGTGGTCAATGGTCTCCAGGACCAGCTGAAGATCAACCGGGAGTACTTCAGTATGCTGGTGGTTGGGAAGGACGGGGACGTGAAAGCCTGGTTCCCCTCGCCCATGTGGTCTCTGGCCAATATCTATGACCTGGTGGACTCCATGGAGCTGCGGCAGCAAGAAGAGAAGCTGCAGAGGACTTTAGGTCTTCACTGCCCTGAGGACACTGGCAGTAGTTACCAAGGTTATGATGAGGAAGCAGATGAGAGCTACCTTTACCACAGGTCAGAGGAGTAAAAGAGAGAAAACAGCCAAAAGGCCTCAAAGACCCCATGGCAGCCAGCTCAAATTAATGTTAAATGGTTGTGGGGAAAAGTTTGACATAATAACAGGTAGAAGCTTAACCATTAAAGGCTTTTTATTTGAAATGTCTTCGCAAACTAGATCCATTTATCAGAGGCGTAGCATTTGTACTTTGAAATGGCCAACATTACATAAAATGATCTACAATTGAAGGGTTTCATTCCAAAACGCTGTATATCCATTTTCATAAATGTTGGCAAATTAGCTTTTATTGTTTAAAGAACTTATGAAAGAGATTGGTGTGTGTTTTCAATATCATGGGGTTGTTCAATGACAGACATAAACTTGATGGTTTCATTTCAGAGAGATAAATAATCATGTTTTTTTTTACAAAAAACGCTATATACTCGCCTTACTCTCAGAGAAATAAGTAGTACTGCTAGGTTTTACACAGTCAAATGTAACAAATAACTACATTTGTAATAAAGAACAGTACAATTGATACGTTTGTGACATCATTATTTGAAAAAATTTTGTTACAAATAATTCACCACAGTAATATGAGATCTGTATGTAAAACATTTACATTTGACATTTTAGTCATTTAGCAGATGGTCTTATCCAGAGTGACTTACAGTAAGTGTATTCATCTTAAGATAGCTAGGTGAGACAACCACATATCACAGTCAGATATACAGGACACAAACATTCCATTCCAGCTAAACAATTAATATATAGTGTTTTGCCCCAGCCCCAGCCCCAGCCCCAGCCCCAGCCCCAGCCCCAGCCCCAGCCCCTCCCCCAAAATAAATCTAAATTCTATAAATAAAAATCAGAGAACAGTAATATTTTACACATACATGAAGGTACCCATAAGCAATCATTGCTGATTAAAAAACAAGAAATTGATGGATATAGCTCTTCAATAAACTCTTCAAATACTTAACGTGTTTCTTGAAATTAAAGGTTCGTTTTTATAATTGTGACGTTGACATCTGGTTTCTTTCAGAATTGGACAGCTGTAAAAAAGAAAGTCATGAAAAACTATGCCTGAAGGTGTGCTTCAAAAACTCCCCTATTTGGCCACATCAATCACACGTCTACATTGTCATGGAAAATAACTCCAACTCTTACAGTTTGTTATAGACTTGTAGACTAATGTTAATATCCAGGTAGTAGAATATAAATTGGTTTGACAACAGAAGGTCAGGTGATTAGTTGTAGGCTAATAGTTATCTGTGTTTCATGCTAACCTACAGATGTAGGATCTTAATTTAATCACCCTGTTGCAGGTGAACTTTCCTGCAATGCAGGAAATGCACAACTTATAATGTATTCAAGGTTTTAAAAGGCTTCTGAAGTTTGTCATTTCCACTTTGAAATTTCAGACTTGATTTTCCATTGTGAAAAATGTATCAACCCCAACAAAAATGTCCATTAATTATAAACATAATAATTTCCTGTTGCTTCAGGAATATTTTCCTGCTGTAGCAAACTGGCTCAAATTAAGATCCTACATCTGTAAACATAGAATAGGAATAAGATGGGTCTAAAGAATGTGGTTGTACAGTATTTGACCTGGCTTTTGGGCTGTTGTCTTTCATGCTGGGCCTCGGAGCAATTAAAGTAGGATTTGTGGGGGGAGAAAACATATGTTCATCAGCTTTGAACTGGATGCTGATAACTAGGTGCAGCACATAGTAAAAAAGAAAGTTACAGCACACCGGGAAAATTTTGCAGTAAAAAACTGTCAAAGACAGACCTTCCTCCATCTTTCCATTATTTCAGTTTGGACTAATAAGTTGTTAATTTCAGATCAATCTATTTCACTGAAGATCTTGGATAGGTCGTATCTAAAATTTCACACAGCATTCATCCAGACACTTTTCATTTCATTCCCACAGTCTCTCTCAACAATGAACAACAACAACATTAATCCTTCAATTACATATTTGCGAGCCCTCAAGTTTGATTGCATTTGCCAGTGGACTTTCTGTCTTTGTGTCTCTAACCCCCCCCCCCCCCCCCCCCCCCCCTAACCCCCCCCTCAAATAATAAAGTCAATTTTATTACAGGGTTTTGTATACTAGTCCATGACGTATGTCCAGAGGAGGAGAGAGGCCGTATTTCACATGACAAACATTACAGTAGACGTGTGACACTGGTGGTTCAGTGGAGATGGAAAGAGCAGTGGGGCTGCTTGGAATAGGCAAATACAGTAGATGGAGAGAGATAAGGCTGCCATACTTATGACTCAACAGGAGTCACTCTGCAGAGAGGGGAAGTAGTTAAAAGCACACAGACACTGAGGTCACAAATGCTTACACACACACACTCACTCTCACTCAATCTCTCTCACACACACATACATTCAGTACACACAGAGGAACTCATTCACATGCACAAACAAAGACTCTCCCCTACCCAAGGGGCACCAGACCACGTACAGACTAGGTAGATTCTCTGGGCGCTGACTTTTCCCACTATGGTGAGTACCTGCCTTACAATCATATCATCATGAGTTGGGACTCTGAGAAGTAAAATCTTTATTAGCTACTGTATAACTAACTTCAAGTTTCAACGTTTATTCGCCTTGTGCACAGGATACAACAGGTGTAAGACAGTACAGTTAACAGGAGGCTGTTGAGGGGAGAACGGCTCATAATAATGGCCAGAACGGAGCAAATGGAATGGCATCAAACACCTGGAAACCATATGTTTGATGTATTTGATACCATGCCACTCATTCCACTCCAGCCATTACCATGAGCCCATTCTCCCCAATTGAGGTGCCACCAACCTCCTGTGGTACAGTGAAATTCTAACCTTGAGAGATCTTTCCAACAATGAAGTGATAATAATAACATAGATAATAATAACATAGTCAAAAAAAAAAGAACTACGATGAGAGTTAAAGAAACATGAGAATGCAAGTATATACATGTCAGTGCCAGTACCCTATTCAATGTGCAGGTATACTGGAGTGGTCTAGGTGGGTTTATACATAAAACATGTAGGATATGGATATACATGTAAACAGGGCAGAAAAAGTAACTTGGGAAAGCTTTACTGGGGGTATTTTCAGTCCTTGTTGTACACCGTAGTCTAGTGGCAGGTAGGAGCAGGTGGTAGCCCGTTGATTTATTACTATAGTTTTGTAAATGTACAGTATTATATTTTCATTTTCTTCTTTGTTATACGGTGCCCTGTTTTCTTTGTAAACTTTTCTTGGAAGTTTTATGAAAGTGCTATGCGATGGAGATTAGAAAACTTGTAGATGTCTTTTTGTTTTTTTTATTATTAGAGTAGCTCTTAACCAGTTTTGCTAAACAGGGTTGTGGCAGTCTGGATTGTGTAATACAGCCTTTTCAACTTGAAGAAACCTTTGGTTCCTCTTTGCTTTTACTCAATACTTTTTTTTTTTCATCCATGGATGTTATGTAACTGCTCCAGGCCGTGTCATACCAAAATAATCCCCAGCTCACAGCCAACTAATCTCATGGATAAAAACAGTCAATGTGTTACCGTAGAATCTCTGTTATTGGCTGTAATTTACTCCTGCTAGAAATGCAGCACATGTCTGGTGAGGTGACTAGAGACAGGAGGATGCTGAAAGGACCTTCTTTAGTGTCTTTGTGAAACCAAGTGAAACCCACTGTGTCTGTAAGGTCATAAACATGAGATAGCATTGTCACACTTCTCCGCCTCTGAGTCCCTGTTTTGAATGTTGTTCAGTGGGTTGTACGTCTCACAGCCTTCAGCACACCCGTAACAGACAGACAGTGACACATTCCCCTTTAGATCTTTGTTGAATAATGATTAGCTTCCAAATAGATACATTTATAAGGGACATTAACTAATTAAGTGGATTCCAGCTGAAGTGTAGCTCAGTTGATAGAGCATGGCGCTTCCAACGCCAGGGTTGTGGGTTCGTTTCCCACGGGGGGCCAGTATGAAAAAAGTATGAAAATGTATGCACTCACTAACTGTAAGTCGCTCTGTAGAAGAGCGTCTGCTAAAATGACTAAAATGTAAGTGGATTCCGTGTGGTTTCTGGGGGGAAACTACAGAGTTGAGAAATAGTAATTCATGCTCACCAATGAGGCAAAAGGTAGTGTTTAGCTAATGATTGAAAATGTCACGTGCATTGACTGCTTTAAGCAGAACCAGTGGGAATGATATTCAGATACCTAATAAGTAATCTCCCTCTATGGCTGCGTTACAAGTCATTGCTCTTTATATGACATGACACAATTTATTAGGCTATTTGTGTATTCATGAAATACAATACACTGTGAAACAAGTGTTAACATATGTTTAACTAATTGATGAGTTGATGCCACTTCCTATGGACACTTCTGCCCCCCTAGCTGTCTCCATTGTCCGTCCCCTGAAGTTCAACAACAGCACAGTTTGTTCCTCCCTGGCCAGGCGGCCATCAGCCTTGTGCAATAGGAATGTCTGTCCTCTGGACTTATCAGCACTTCCTCATGATAGGTTGCTCTGTCTCGATTCAAACAAACCTCAAGAGGAAAGCCATCCACCACCTATCCCTTGTTATCAACAACACCATGAAGCATAGTATTTTACTGCAGCTATCACTAGTGCAGCTTATAACAGATGCATGTTCAAAACCTCTCACCAGAGGAGAGTTCCCAGAACCTACAGTTCCCACAGACAAACCACAGATAAACTTTTTTGTCATTTGCATCTTGAGTAAGGAAATACAGGATGAACAAGATGCTTCAGCTACAACAACAATGTAGGTGGACACAGAAGTTAAAGAACTCTTTCATCATAGAGTGGTAATCTGATTATTTCGGCCGTCTTAGGTCATCATAATTATATTTACACAGCTATTTTAACAGCCAGCCATTCAAGATATTGTTTTTGTCAAATAGTAAGTAGCAGAATCATTATCATTAGATTGACTATATTGTCAATGAAAAACAAAGCGGAGCATGGGTTAATCAAGCAATGCGAGGACAAAACACATATGTGTCCACTTCCTGTTTAGCACCATTACTTTGTTGCATTTCCTGTGTGATCTGTCACACACTGGGTCCTGAGGGGCTTAGTGCTCTTAGCACTTCAAGACACGGAGAGGTAGGTGAATCGTTGTTGGCTAACTTTAGTGAGAGGTTAAAAATACCAATATGGTGCAAACACAATATACAGTGGGGGAAAAAAGTATTTAATCAGCCACCAATTGTGCAAGTTCTCCCACTTAAAAAGATGAGAGAGGCCTGTAATTTTCATCATAGGTACACGTCAACTATGACAGACAAATTGAGAGAAAAAAATCCAGAAAATCCCATTGTAGGATTTTTTATGAATTTATTTGCAAATTATGGTGGAAAATAAGTATTTGGTCACCTACAAACAAGCAAGATTTCTGGCTCTCACAGACCTGTAACTTCTTCTTTAAGAGGCTCCTCTGTCCTCCACTCGTTACCTGTATTAATGGCACCTGTTTGAACTTGTTATCAGTATAAAAGACACCTGTCCACAACCTCAAACAGTCACACTCCAAACTCCACTATGGCCAAGACCAAAGAGCTGTCAAAGGACACCAGAAACAAAATTGTAGACCTGCACTAGGCTGGGAAGACTGAATCTGCAATAGGTAAGCAGCTTGGTTTGAAGAAATCAACTGTGGGAGCAATTATTAGGAAATGGAAGACATACAAGACCACTGATAATCTCCCTCGATCTGGGGCTCCACGCAAGATCTCACCCTGTGGGGTCAAAAAGATCACAAGAACGGTGAGCAAAAATCCCAGAACCACACGGGGGGACCTAGTGAATGACCTGCAGAGAGCTGGGACCAAAGTAACAAAGCCTACCATCAGTAACACACTACGCCACCAGGGACTCAAATCCTGCATTGCCAAACGTGTCCCCCTGCTTAAGCCAGTACATGTCCAGGCCCGTCTGAAGTTTGCTAGAGTGCATTTGGATGATCCAGAAGAGGATTGGGAGAATGTCATATGGTCAGATGAAACCAAAATATAACTTTTTGGTAAAAACTCAACTCGTCGTGTTTGGAGGACAAAGAATGCTGAGTTGCATCCAAAGAACAACATACCTACTGTGGAGCATGGGGGTGGAAACATCATGCTTTGGGGCTGTTTTTCTGCAAAGGGACCAGGACGACTGATCCGTGTAAAGGAAAGAATGAATGGGGCCATGTATCGTGAGATTTTGAGTGAAAACCTCCTTCCATCAGCAAGGGCATTGAAGATGAAACGTGGCTGGGTCTTTCAGCATGACAATGATCCCAAACATGGCTTCGTAAGAAGCATTTCAAGGTCCTGGAGTGGCCTAGCCAGTCTCCAGATCTCAACCCCATAGAAAATCTCTGGAGGGAGTTGAAGGTCCGTGTTGCCCAGCGACAGCCCCAAAACATCACTGCTCTAGAGGAGATCTGCATGGAGGAATGGGCCAAAATACCAGCAACAGTGTGTGAAAACCTTGTGAAGACTTACAGAAAACGTTTGACCTGTGTCATTGCCAACAAAGGGTATATAACAAAGTATTGAGAAACTTTTGTTATTGACCAAATACTTATTTTCCACCATGATTTGCAAATAAATTCATTAAAAATCCTACAATGTGATTTTCTGGATTTTTTTTTCTCATTTTGTCTGTCATAGTTGACGTGTACCTATGATGAAAATTACAGGCCTCTCTCATCTTTTTAAGTGGGAGAACTTGCACAATTGGTGGCTGACTAAATACTTTTTTTCCCCACTGTAGTTTACTCGGGGTTCGTCATAATGCTTAGGATACTTTTTAGAGTCTGTCCTTCAAAGAAACTCAATCTGAGCTGTAAAATCATGGATCAACTTTTCTCTTAGATGTTGTGAATGGTTTGGAATGAGAAGCTGTACGTGTGGAGGTTGCAGGAATTTCTAAATGTCAGTTATTGAACAACTGTTACAACCTTCTGCTTTCTTCCTCCTGTCTCTCTCGCTCTCTCTCTCTCTCCCTCTCTTCTTTCTCTAGCTCCCTCATTAGATGTGCCTGTGTTTTTCAATGGTGGTTAATGAATCGATAATGCAATATTGATGTGAATGACATTAAATGTTTCCGTCTTCCTCAAATTCATATAAAAGTGTATACATAAAGCACACTTCCTCCTCAGTAGTCTCTCTCTGTTTCCTGCCAGCAGGACAACAAGTCTGATGTGAAGTCCATCATGGCTCGCTTCAACGCGGGGGGAAATGCCACAGAGGGTATCTCTACAGAACGTCCAAAACCTGCAGTGCACCCCACCCTGTCCTCTGGACCCCCTATCCAGCCTAAGAAACCTGCCCTGGAGATCAGCCTCTCAGGCAGCGCAGCCTCCACCGCGCCCAAACCCAAATTCCTCAAGAGCACCATCTCCACCTTGAGTGCTCCAGAAGTCAGGGACTTGCACAGAATCAAAGCGATCCCTAGTAAGTTTGGAAACGCCCAAGAGGACAGCAAACCCTCCGTTGTCAAACAGTACCCCGTTAAACTCAAACCACCTGGCCCAGAGATATCCCAGGACGCTGAGGTCAAAAGCCCTCCGCCCAAACTCCCTCTCCAGAAGCCCTCTCTGAGCTTGACCCTGTCTGACGCCAAGCCTGCCTTCCCCAAACCTCCGCTGGGTGTGGCCAAACCCTCCTGGGTCAAAGACAGCAGCCCCAAACCCGACGATAGTGGGGGTACCCCGAACTCCATCCCACCCAAAATACCCCCTTCCAAAAAAAACATTAGCTCCATTGTAAAGATGCGTCCACAGACAGAGGATAATGTGGCTGGAGCAGTGGATTCTACAATCAAACCGTTCGGAGGAGCTTCTACCCTCAAACCCTCCAACTTCAGGACTGCACAGAATGTGTTCAATAGAGGAGAAACCCTATCTGAGAATGGGGTAAAGGAAATAGCCAAACTTCCCCTCACTTCCAGCGACTCTTGTCTTACTAAACCTATAGACAGTAGGAAACCCAGCTTTATTAAGAAGCCGCTGGGTCCCACCTCCCCGGTCGTGGGGGTGAGCAACAGTAGCCCGTCCACACCCAAAAGGAACCCCCTGCCCAATATCCTGGCATTGGGGACTGCCCCAGTCAAACCCAACAGGCCTCCTACGGTCAACTTGGAAAAGTTCAAGAAGGGCACAGAGGCTAGTGCCGATAGTAAGTGTTCTGTCTTTAATGTAACTAATGAGTCACATAAGGTCAAATCTATCAGCTGCTAAGATGCTTCTGCTGTGGTTTTCTAAACATGCTCCAGTTGTTCAGACTCACAGTCTTGCACACAGACCAGAGTGGTTTATGTGGTTGTATGCTCCACTGATCAGAACCCCCAGAGACAGGTAGTAGAGAGCACACACACACACACATACACACACACACACACACACACACACACACACACACACAGCTTTATAGAAGCTCCATTACATAAAGAATAAGTGAAGTTAAACACGCAGCTGCACTGTAATTTAACATCAAAATGTAAAACCAAAGATGCAGGATTGCATGGTTCCTCTAATTAAGTTCCCTCTCTAGTTTCAATTTTTTCCTCCTCCTTTCTACAGCTGATGTGTGCTCCCTTACTGGGAAGTTCCTCTTTAAACAGGCACATATTCAAGTGAAAGGTTCCACATGTGAATATGGTTTTGACTAAAGATAGATTTCAGCCTGGTTTGCATGCATTACTGTTAGTCAGCAGAGAGAACAATCCAATGTGAATTCCACACTCCTCCTGGTGAGAATGTAGGCCAAAGCTGTTACAGACACTATCTATGGATTTGACTAATGATTGTTGTCTACATGCAGGATGAAATTCAACATATTCAGTCATTGGTATCCAAGGGTACAAGGGATTTTATCTCAAACTCTGCCATTCTCCCTTTCAACTACAGAATAACGTCCATAGAACAAGCTGGACTGAGGCCTTATTCAATTACTATATGCAGCTGATTTGAAAATGAAAATGTGCATGCAATTTCCTTCTTCACTGTATGTGTGAGGAGGTAATCTAAAGGCCTGTATTGTCTCCCCTGAAGGTCCTGCTGGGTTAAGGAAGGGATCTGTTCCCCCACCCCCTGCCTCTCACCCCAGTAACCATATGGCCCCACCCCTGCCCTCTCACCCCATGGCCCCTAGCCTGCCCCCGCGACCACCAGAAGCCATGTGAGTATCGGACTCTGATAATCAGAGGACTGTCGTGTGAAAAACTGCCAATATTAGAGAATACCACTACTGGCATTGAAGTACATACATAAGTAAAAACACATAGGCCTGTAGAGACACTGTACTTGCTTCAGAGCATAGAAACAGCACACTATCCCGTTCACAAAACCCAGTGTTTTGTTTATACCCTACTATTCATTATTTCCTTCAGTAACTTTCAAAGTAGAATACCACTGGGCACACACTGGTTGAATCAACGTTGTTTCCACATAATTTCAATGAAATTACATTGAACCAACATGGAATCGATGTTGAATTGACGTCTGTGCCCAGTGGGATACTTGTACACTGACCTTACTTTCATTGTGATGTGGTGGGTCATTTTGGCCAGTTGACTGACTTTGTGTCTCTGCCTCCAGAATCCAACCTGACCCAGATGAGAACTATGATGATGTGGGGTTAATGAACAACCCTCCACCCCCTCCCTCTGGAGGACATCCTAGTCAAATGACTAAGGTGAATGTTTTATAATTTTTTATTTGTCCAATTTAGGCCTATGTATTTGATAAAATACCACCGTACAGGCTTACAGTATTCTGACTGCATCTTTTTCATCCAATAGGACAGTGAAAGTGATGAAGAAATGTATGAAGATCTTGATGAAAGATGGTGAGAAAGATTGCCTCCATTTTCTATTCAACTTTTTCTATTGTACCAATCTGTGAAATGTGGAACAGGTTTTAGACATAGAGATAGAGGACTCTATAGTGCCCAAAAGCTGTTGAGATGTCTGAGACCAAGTCTACGGTTTTGATGAACACTGCCCTCTAGTGAGCATTAACACCACTGACACTTATTTCTAATCAGGGGGACAGTGGAATCAAAGGAGCAAGAGAAGAAGAGAGAGAGGGAGGAGAAAAAACGACAGGAGGTGGAAAAGAAAGAACAAAAAGAACGTGAGAGGAAAGAACAAGAGGCCAGAAAGAAATTCAAAGTAAGTGTTTGCAAAAGCCTGTTGGTCAGTAGTTCCCCTAGATCTTGCTGTATTTACATTTACATTTTACATTTTAGTCATTTAGCAGACGCTCTTATCCAGAGCGACTTACAGTTAGTGCATACATTATTTTTAAATTTATTTTTCATATTCGTATTGTAGGTATCATGGAGTCCATCCGGTATAATATTTGTGAAGTGAATGTGTTTACGCTGCATCTTCTATCATGTATTTATGTTTCCTTATGTGGCAGCTGACTGGTCCACTGGAGGTCATCCACAGGGTCCAGGCCAGAGTGGACAGTAAAGGGAGTAAGACGGACCTGGGGCTGAAGCAGGGAGAGTCTATTGAGATCATGCGTGTTTTGGACAACCCAGAGGGACGCTGGCTAGGGAGGTCACAGGACGGCTCCTGTAAGTGGCAACCCTGTCTCCTCCACCTCCTCCTCCGCCTCCTCCTGTTCCTCCTGTTCCTCCTGCTCCTCCTCCTCCTCCTCCTGCTCCTCCTCACCTGCTCCTCCTCCTCCTCCTTCTGCTCTGCCTCCTCCTCCTCCTCCTGCTCCTCCTCCACCTGCTCCACCTGCTCCTCCTCCTGCTCCTCCTCCTCCTCCTTCTGCTCTTCCTGCTCCTCCTCCTGCTCCTCCTCCTCCTCCTCCTGCTCCTGCTCCTCCTCCTCCTCCTGCTCCTCCTCCTCCTGCTCCACCTGCTCCTCCTCCTCCTCCTCCTCCTGCTTCTCCTCCTCCTCCTCCCCCTACTCTTCCTGCTCCTCCTCCTCCTCCTCCTCTACTACCTCCTCCTCCTGCTCCTGCTCCTGCTCCTGCTCCTGCTCCTGCTCCTGCTCCTGCTCCTGCTCCTGCTCCTGCTCCTGCTCCTGCTCCTCCTCCTCCTCCTCCTCCTCCTCCTGCTCCTCCTCCTCCTCCTGGTCCTCCTCCTCCTCCTCCTCCTCCTCCTCTACTCCATCTCGCACCTATTACAGAGTACTTTTCTCCCTCACATCCTTTTGACTGTTCTTCATGTGTAAGACTCTAACATGTGCTCCGTATATTTGCAGATGGCTATGTGAAGACTGAGTCGGTTCAGATTGACTTTGACACCCTGAAGCGTCAGGGCGTGTCTATATCCAGTCATATGGAACACGAACCGGAGGTATACGATGATGTGGACTTTCGTAATGACCTCAGCAGGTAAAATGTCTCTCGAACCCGCTGACACTTTAAAAAAAACATTTGAGACAAATAACCATTGTAAAGATATGAATACCTTATTATAATAATGCACTACATGAATATCTTCCTGTCTTTTGTTTTGATTGTGTAATTATGTGATCCAATGAAATGATGTCCTCCTCATTCCAGTGGGATCAAGGGTCCAGGAGGTAAGTTTCAAAAGACAAAAACGTAATATTGAAACTGAACAACACAATATGGCAATGTGGTCACAAATGACTTTAGTTCAATCTAGATTACATATTTATCTTGATCATTCCTAGTGGTTCTTCCTCCACCTCCTGAGAAGGATGGGGACATATATGATGATCTTGACGATTCAAGCTTCGACGTCAGGTGAGAATATCATGCTGCACTATGATGGTGTAGATTCATTGGCGTACATTCACCTGTGAGTGTATACTTTCTATGCATGTGTCTGTGTGAGTGTAAGTATGTGAATAAGTGTGTATGTGCAGCCCTAGCCCCTCGGACTCCAGATCACCTCCTAAACCTCGCTCTTGGATGTTTAAGGGCTTCGAGGAGTGGAGGAAAAGCCCAGGCAGCAAAATTGAGTAATACTATAAGATGGATCAGGAAAATACACTGTCATTACCTCCTAACCCTATAACCCCAAATCACTAATCAGGAGGAACAGAAGGGATTCATTACTTAATTACTGAATAATTTAATGAAATCATACTTAATTCATCAGTGCTTGACTTGGACTGAAATAGGTGCTAGTACTCATGTTGGGTATCGGTACTGTTAATATTTACACTACCGTTCAAAAGTTTGTGGTCACTTAGAAATGTCCTTGTTTTCGAAAGAGACTAGTTGAGTATCTGGAGCGTCAGCAATTGTGGGTTTGATTACAGGATCAAAATGGCTAAAAACAAATAACTTTCTACTAAAACTCGTCAGTCTATTCTTGTTCTGAGAAATGAAGGCTATTCCATGCGAGAAATTGCCAAGAAACTGAAGATCTCGTACAACGCTGTATCTCAGACTGGCCAATAAAAAGAAAAGATTAAGATGGGCAAAAGAAAACAGACACTGGACTTTTTCTTTGCAACTCTACCTAGGTCAGCATCCCGGAGTCGCCTCTTCACTGTTAACGTTGAGACTGGTGTTTTGTGGGTAATATTTAATGAAGCTGCCAGTTGAGGACCTGTGAGGCGTCTGTTTCTCAAACTAGACACGCTAATGTATTTGTCCTCTTGCTCAGTTGTGCACCGGGGCCTCCCACTCCTCCCTCTATTCTGGTTAGAGCCAGTTTGCGCTGTTCTGTGAAGGGAGTAGTACACAGCGTTGTACGAGATCTTCAGTTTCTTGGCAATTTCTCGCATGGAATAGCCTTCATTTCTCAGAACAAGAATAGACTGACGAGTTTCAGAATAAAGTTATTTGTTTCTGGCCATTTTGAGCCTGTATTCGAACCCACAATTGCTGATGCTCCAGATACTCAACTAGTCTCAAGAAGGCCAGTTTTATTGCTTCTTTAATCAGCACAACAGTTTTCAGCTGTGCTAACATAATTGCAAAAAGGTTTTCTAATGATCAATTAGCCTTTTAAAATGATCAACTTGGATTAGCAAACACAACGTGCCATTGGAACACAGGACTGATGGTTGCTGATAATGGGCCTCTGTACGCCTATGTAGATATTCCATTAAAAATCAGCCATTTCCAGCTACAATAGCCATTTACAACATTAACAATGTCTACACTGTATTTCTGATCGATTTGATGTTATTTTAATGGACAAAAAATGCTTTTCTTTCGAAAACAAGGACATTTCTAAGTGACCCCAAACTTTTGAACGGTAGTGTAGGTGCAGGAGCTCCACAATACGTTTGAGCTAATATTCTATAAGAGGAACAGGAGCTCAAGCAGTAGAAAGTTTGGGGTAACTGTACTTAGCTTCGGTGAGCTCCAGCCCAAGTCAAGCACTGTAAATCATTAGATAAAATACTGTTTTTGTACATCCTTTAATGAATTAACAACCTTCTCCATTTCATTCTGTCTATACATCTACTGTAGATGCACTTACTTACAATGTTCTATGTACAGGTGTGAAAAAATCTTTCTAATCATAGTTCAATTGGTGGTGATTTGTTGACTTTTTTTGGGGGTATTATTGCTAGATTCTCTATATTGATTTGTGTCCTTTTGATTACAATGAACCCACAATCAATCAAATCAAATTATACCAGACATAACATGGACTAATATTTTAATTCAGTTTTTGTCATTTTCAGAGTACCCCCACCTTCCCAGTTTGACCAGGCAGGAAATACTGGTAACTTAATATGTTTAATATCCAGAATGACTATGTGTGCCTGTGTCGGTGGCATTACAAAAACTGAAGAATAGAAGTTTGAGAAGTACTGTTAACTTCACTTACATTTCAATGTGTTCTTGATATTCTTTCTCTGTATCTCTTGTTGTTATAGAACAATCTTCTGAGGTCAGTGATACAGAGATTTATGATGATGTTGATGCCACTAACTTTCATCCGCCTCCACCTATCAGCAGGTAATGACAGAGAGATTTTTTCTGACCCATGTTTAAACAAACTTGCTGTAATTACATAAGAATGTCCTTATCAGCCACTGGGAAACATTTAGAAAATGTCACGTTTTCCTCTCTTCAGTCTCTCACAAAGTAAAACCAAGGGTAAGGTTGAGGACAAAGATCCTAAAAAGCTAAAGAAATTTGAGAAGGAAGAGAAGGAATTCAGAAAGAAGTTCAAGGTAAGTTGGCTATTATCACAATTTACATTTATAATTTGACATTTTGTGTACATTTGTTCGACCCTCAAACCTAACCTCTCATACCTATAGTATGATGGGGAGATCCAGGTACTGTATCAGGTGACCATCGTTTCCACCTTGGCCAATAAGAAGTGGAGCAGTAAAGATCTGCCGTTGAGACCTGGGGAGACTCTGGATGTCATCGTTAAGCCTGTAGACAACAAACTAATCTGCAGGAACGAGGAGGGAAAGTGTGAGTAACAATGATACATAGGCATTCTGCAATAAAACTAATCTGCAAGGGGGCTAACTTTAATGATCTCCCCCTATCTCTCACTCCTTTAGTTGGCTACGTCTTGACCAGCCATATTGTAGTAGAGTAAGTACAACACAAATACAGATAATACAAAAACACATCCATAAATACACGTAATATACTGTATAGTATTTTATTAACAGTTCACTAAACGGAACTGTTTTGCTTTTACAGAGATGCTGATATCTATGATGACATTGGCGATGGTACGTTTCAGACTTTTGACATGCAATGGCATTTAATAATGAATATCATACAAGATGCCAAATCAGAAGCTCAAGTGATCAACGCTATCAATTTAATTCTTGCAATATGGTGCTGATATGTTTTCATGTCGGAGGAAATGTTTTCACATATTTCAGTCATTTCTATTAATAGTTGTCATTTCTTTGCAGATTGTGTCTATGACAACGACTGAACACTGTCTACAAAGTGATGCCGATATTTGTATTTTGGGGGTTTTCTTGTTTATATTAATAATCTTTATCTAATTTATTGTGGTTATTTTGAGGTGACGTGGTTTTCATTCTAGAACAATACAGTCCACAGACACTTCCTCCCTTAATGAATAATTGTGACTTTGCAATGAATAGGCCTAAATTACATACAATGTTAAGATTTTATATTGAACCATATTTGAATACTTATATTCCATATTCAACAAGAGACATTACACGCTGATTGAAAACAAAGGTTGATGATGATACATTTTCATCAAAAAAAGTATTTACCATTTGATGCCAAATATAGCATGTCAGATCAGTTGTCATATGGTTGGCTGGTTATCACTTGACAGGTTATGTCGTATTGTAGGCCTACTGAAAGTCAGAGTCCATTAGTGATGTGCAGTTCGAAAACGATTTGTTTTTTTTAACTACTCTTTTTACTGACTGAGTGACTCGTTCATTTTAGTTGTTCGCTTGACCTGCTAGTGCTGGCAGCAATGAATCCTACCACTGAGCTATAATAGAGCCCCAAGGTGGAGGTGTCATAATACCCATATAACCCAACGGTCAAACAGAGAAATGGTTCCAATCGTTTTTCCACCATTAATTTTTCAACTTAGAAACACTTAAAATAAGGGTGTGACGTTATGATAACCATGTAAATCTCTCGGACAAGGTGACTTTTATCAATATATTCGGCTCTATTTACTCTCAGATTCAAAAATGCTCATTAGCATCAAAGTAGACATCATGCAAGACTACAAATCCCTCTTGCACGTCATCGCTAACTGACACCTTTGCTAACAGGTATTGTGTCAATTTTAAATGTGCACAAGACAGTTCACAGAATTGTCAATTCAAAGAAATATAGCCAATTTATTCATTACTACATTCAGCTAACATTAGATAGTTAATCCAGAGATTCTTACCTTTGTCTCGAGTAGGCAGTCTCGTCCAGATCATCATGGCATTTGTAGTTCTTTATAATAGCTACATTAGCATCTAATTAGCATTTCATTTTGGGGGGTAAATACAGGCGAAAATATTGATAAAAGTCACCTTGTTCCTAGAGAGATTTACACGGTTATCAAAATGTCACGCCACGGTAAGCCTACACGAAACACAGCCCTTATTGGAAGTGTTTAGAAAATCCCCAATGGGAAAAATGAATGGTGGAAAAACCATTGGAACCATTTCACATTAGTAATTTTTCTAACAGGCCAGACGTCTGATTTTAACATGACATTAAAATAACCTTTTGTATTCATCAAATACTTTCAATGGAGTTAGTTATACAACACAATTTAATACAATAAATATAGTTTACCTTGATGACAGGCGAGACTACAACTGGAGGAACCATATTGCGGTTGTGAGATTGAGGAAGTGCGTAGCCAAGGGGGAGTGTTGATAGCAGATCAAATCGATTATTCGGACCAGGTCCGTCTTTGTACTTTTCGATATTTTGATTAAGACCAGAGAAAGCAGTGAAGTCTCATAAATCTCATGCAGAAAAATGAAACAATGAAAATAATGTTACTTATAAATGTGTTATTATGTGATTCAATGTTATTTCTATGGCATGGGCTTTATATAAAATCAAGACATTTGTTCCCTTGCACTCATCAAGAAAGGTCAGGGCTATGACATACAATGTAATTGTAATTCTTCTTCTTCTTCTTCTTCTTCTTCTTCTTCTTCTTCTTCTATAATATCATGACGATCCGCAAGCAATCGTTTAAGTGCATGCCGCTACCTACTGTACTGGAATGTACAATCAATCATGATCTGACCAATTCTGTACTACCATGAAAATACAATTCAAAACAAAATAAATCCCAACTAACTTCTACCACATATAGCCTTGTTATTATTATTTTATTGTGTTACTTTTTACTATTTTTTACTTCTGTTTATTTGGCAAATATTTTCTTAACTCTTTCTTGAACTGCATTGTTGGTTAAGGGCTTGTAAGTAAGCATTTCACGGTAAGGTCTACACCTGTTGTATTCGGCGCATGTGACAAATAAAGTTTGATTTGATTTGATGTAAGCTACATCAGTCCGCACTGTAGTTCTACCAATCTGTTTTACGGCCTCTGCATATGATACATCATGACTGATCCAAATCTCTGAACCTCTATAGCCTCTCCCTGTAGCTGGCATCCACCAAATGCTGCACTGTGTTCTCCCCCACAATTACAGCACTTAACCTTCACATTGCTTCCCCATTCACCGTAATCATGTGCCCCTACACACTTGGCACATCTTTTATTTCCTTTACACTGAGCAGCTACATGTCCCATTCTTTGGCATTTAAAAACTGCAGTGCATATGGGACAAATTCTCTAACATTGAAACTAAGGAATCCTATCTGTACTTTTCCCGGCAAGACTTTCTCAAACCTCAGCATCACTGATAAGCTTTCACTTCTTTGACCCTCTTTCCTACTGATCAACCTTTTGGCCTCAATCACTCTGCCTCCCTTCACATTTTCTTTAATATCATCTGTGGACATAGATATTGGGACCCCAGTGATGACTCCCCTCAATCTAGCACCAGGGACATGGCTTTTAATCTTATTCCAATCAAGCTTTTCCATTTTCAAAATCTTCTCTTACTGAGCCTGGCTACCACACAATATTAACAATCTACCATTTCCAATTAACCGAGCTAATTTCACTTCACCTACCTCTTTCTCTACGGCATTAGTTAGTCGGATAGGGTGTAAGTGAGGCCCTGTGGTCTCATAAAACACTATCACCACTTTCCACTGCAACACATCATTACTCTTGCTTCCTACCTTGGCCCTCTTTATGCTTTCTTTACTAGACGCTCCACTGCTTTCTGTATCATGATCTCTCTTCTTCCTATGTCTTTCCACTACCGACCATTCTGGTCCTTGATCCTCATCCTCTCTCTCCATACCATCAGAACTGACACCCATATTGTTCGCATTCCAGCACAGCTATTGCTTCACCAACTCAATTTAATCTGCAGTACATTTACATTACATTTACGTCATTTAGCAGACGCTCTTATCCAGAGCGACTTATAAATTGGTGCATTCACCTTATAGCCAGTGGGATAACCACTTTACAATGTTGTTTTTTTTGGGTGGGGTGGGGTGGGGTGGGGTAAGGGGGGGGTAGAAGGATTACTTTATCCTATCCCAGGTATTCCTTAAAGAGGTGGGGTTTCAAATGTCTCCGGAAGGTGGTGAGTGACTCCGCTGTCCTGGTGTCGTGAGGGAGCTTGTTCCACCATTGGGATGCCAGAGCAGCGAACAGTTTTCACTGGGCTGAGCGGGAACTGTGCTTCCGCAGAGGTAGGGGAGCCAGCAGGCCAGAGGTGGATGAATGCAATGCCCTCGTTTGGGTGTAGGGACTGATCAGAGCCTGAAGGTACGGAGGTGCCGTTCCCCTCACAGCTCCGTAGGCAAGCACCATGGTCTTGTAGCAGATGCGAGCTTCAACTGGAAGCCAGTGGAGTGTGCAGAGGAGCTAGGTGACGTGAGAGAACTTGGGAAGGTTGAACACCAGACGGGCTGCGGCATTCTGGATGAGTTGTAGGGGTTTAATGGCACAGGCAGGGAGCCCGGCCAACAGCGAGTTGCAATAATCCAGAAGGGAAGTGCCTGGATTAGGACCTGTGCCGCTTCCTGTGTAAGGCAGGGTCGTACTCTCCGAATGTTGTAGAGCATGAACCTACAGGATCGGGTCACCGCCTTGATGTTAGCGGAGAACGACAGGGTGTTGTCCAGGATCACGCCAAGGCTCTTCGCACTCTGGGAGGAGGACACAACAAAGTTGCCAACCGTGATGGCGAGATCATGGAACGGGCAGTCCTTCCCCGTGAGGCAGTCCTTCCCCAGTACTCGCCACCATTTCCCATTCTCCGAAGTATGGATCAACTCTACACGCTTCACCACTCAAGGAACCTCATGCGAACAACCTGCAGGCAGCAACCTGGTTGGAACCATTTCCTTGTTTGAATGCTAGGTTTTATGGGTATTATGACTCATACTGTGGTACTCTATAAGAATGAGGCCTACAGCAGGATAAAGACATGCTCCTCCAGCTCAGCGTCTCCAGAGATGTGCCCCGACCACCAACTAAAATAACTGTCTGTCATATGCGAGCAGGGAAATAGATCATGAGTATAGAGAAGAAAAATACATGTTTAGAACTGATATTGATTGCATGGTGCAAGAATGAACGCAATTAATTGACTATTGAATGTTATGATGGTCACAGCTTTGTAGAAACAAAACATACACAGCCTCTGCTCAACAAACTCGATCACAAATTGTTTGGGGGTCTGCAATTCGCGAACGACATTGTGCTTATCTAGTCTGGCTTACACCAGCTCTCGAAGTCCTAGTAGTCACATGGGTCATGTCAGCAAGCAATGCATTCCGCCAAGAGTAATTTACATTTACATTTTAGTCATTTAGCAGACGCTCTTATCCAGAGCGACTTACAATTAGTGAGTGCATACATTATTTATATATTTTTTCATACTGGCCCCCCGTGGGAATCGAACCCACAACCCTGGCGTTGCAAACGCCATGCTCTACCAACTGAGCTACAATTTACAATCTAGTCCGGTTGCGGCCACAACTAGACCTCGTTTCAAATATAGGTCTATCAAGAAATAATCTTATTTGTATGCCTAGCAATTAACCAAGTACATTGTGAAGAGCACACGTTTACACGTTTCAGTCACAAATTACAGCTCCAATAAGCCCCTTATGGTGAACGATATGTGAACGAGAAGCTTGTAGAATCACGAGTCTTTCGAGTTCAGTTCGCCGGTAGGGGGTCCTGCATGCTCTGGGCATTACTGACTCAAATGAACAAAATGAGTTGAAAGATTTGTTTTCTTGACTGAACAAGTCGAAAAGATCTAAGTCAGTAAAATGAGCCGAACTTCCCATCACTAGAGTCCATGACCACATTACATTGTATGGAGGTTGTGGATGGAAAAAAGATGGCGGAAGCGGATGATGAAGTGGATTCTGAATCTAATGACGGTAGAATCAAGGAGAATTGGAATATTGTCCAAAAGAATGGAAAACGGAGCAATGTAGAGTACAGTGAAGAGAAAGTCACTTTGTATATTGTAGGAGGACGGTTTGTAAATGAGGAGCAGCTGATAGAATGACCAATCTTGAGGAATCCATTTGAGATATCCAAACTGGTGGAGAGAGTGCTGGGTAGAGTGAAGGCTGTGAGAATAACGAGAGGCGAGCTGGTTTTGATTTTTTGTGCTTCTGAGGATCAGAAGAAACGTGTGTTGCGTCTCACCCGATTTGATAAGTTTGAAGTGTCGTATGTGTCTCTTAGGAACAGGGCACCCCTCAAGAGGGTTATATCTGGCGTCTCGTGGGAAGTAGATGTTGAAGAGATGAAAAATATTCCTGGAGTGATTGATGCAAGTCGGATGAATCGTGTGGTGAATGAAGAAAAAGTGATGGAGTCTCTCCCTACTCAAGTGCAGTTAGGGTATATTAACTACAGAATCAGAGCATTTATCCCAAGACCAATGCAGTGTGATCATTGTAAAGCTTTTGGTCATGTTTCAAGTGTTTGCAGAAGGGAGAAGCTGAGATGTCCAAGTTGTGTAAAAGATCACATAATG